CCCCCCCCCCCCCCCCCCCCCCCCCCCCCCCCCCCCCCCCCCGCAGCTCTATCATTCCTCCTCTACAACCCCATCCCCCTCCTCAGACTATTACCGTCCCCCACAGCCCAATCACCTCCCGGCCAGCAGCAAGATTAAAACATGCAGCATCCCCCAGGACCTCACGTGAATTTTATCGTTAAACATTTAGCGAGAGTTTTTTTGTTTAAAAAAAAGGAGCAGAAACGCTGACAGAGAATACGAGAAGCTTGAGGGTTGCGGGGGCTGAGATATCCGTATCAAAGCCGGGAAGTTGTAAAATCTCTGTATCATCGGTGAAACCTTTGACTTTTCACCGTTTGATTTGTGTAGGTCCGTAAAGTAGGAAAGGACTTTTCACTTACCATGGTTTAATTTACATCTTTACAATCCATAATATCATGGAATAAGTTTTCTGTCAATCAGTTTTCCTTTCAAAAAAAAAGAACCTTCCCACACCCCTTCTCGCGATGTGGTCTATACAGGGAACATCGCAGAGCTGTTTTCACACTGAAGCACACTGCCACTCAAACTGAAGAGTTTCCACATGAACTCTGTCTCAATGCTTAGTGATGGAGAGGAACTCTTTGAGTGCAAAACTGATTCCTTGCCTAGGACAACGTGGTCGAATTCTGTCTTGCTTTCGTGGCTGAGAATATATTCAATTTCCGGTCGTTTATATATGTCTTACATAGCGCAGTAAATATTCGGGAAGCGGGGCTGGCTTGTTTAACAGTTTGAAGGCAGTATCATGTAAAGAGGGACGCACATAACCAATTTTGCAACTTTACATGTTTGACCTGTGCAACATTCTGAAGTTGGGCACTGTGCCACACATACTGGTAATAGCCACTACCTGATGGAAGAGAACCCATGGAAACACTCATCGCTATTTGTAGGTAATGTTTCAGATAATAGACTGGATTGTTGCAGTTCTCTTAGTTTTGCTTGTAAAAGACAAGTTAACCTCGTGGTAGTTTATATCCATCTCCTGTATTTTTCTCATTGGAGACTTGCTAATTCATAGAATATAGAATAGAATAGTACACTGCAGGACCAGGCCCTTTGGCCCACTCTGTCTGTGCCAACCATGTTGCCATTCTAAACTAATCCCATTTTCTTGCAGTTGCTCCCTATCCTTCTATTTCTCCTGCCTGTTCAGGTGTCTGTCTAATGCCTTTTAAATATTGCTATCATATCTGCTTCTATCACCTCTCCTGGCAGCGCATTATGGGCACCGACCACCCCCTGTGTAAAAAAAGTCTCTTCTTGCACATCTCCTTTAAACATACCTCTCTCATCTTAAACACATGCCCATAGTATTTGACAATTTCAACCAGGGAACAATACTCCAACTATCCACTTTATCCATGCTTCTAATAACTTTATATACTTCTATCAGTTTGTCCCTCAGCATCTGACACTTTTAACAAAACCAATCCAAGCTTGTCCAACATCTCCTCATAGTTAATACACTCCTATCCATGCAAATCCTGGTAAACTTATTTTTCACCCTCTCCAAAACCTCCACATCCTATAGTGTGGTGACCATAACTGCACATACACATATCCCACTTGGCTGTTATAACAAACGTCTCTACCTCAAATAATTGGATTCATTATTTTAACATTTACCAGAGATTTTTTTTAACCCCTTTTAGAATTCTAATCCATTTTACTCACACATATCCAAGGATTGAAACATAATCAGGAATCTACAGGCCAGGAATACTCACTTCCTCCACAGTCTATTTTCTGTAAAGATAACAATATGTTATTGAATTGGATTTTAATTAACATTCAGCTGGTAAATTGATTAAAGTATAATGCAATTTACAGCAACCTTGATATGGTGAATAAATTTCTTTGGGAAATAGTAATGAGTTTTTAGGGGTTTAACTGTGCACATTAACAAGCTACTACATGCTACATTGGTTCTGTATGTACTTGATATATTTTCTAATTGACAACCCATTATTGCCAAGGATGAAAATAGGGAAATAGCCAGGGAATCAGGATGAAGTGAATAGATGACACCAAACTGTTGCTTTTGATTAGCAAATTTGTGTGACCACAGCATTTTTAGAGAGGGAAGAGAGAAGTAGAGGTCTGAAGTCTTGAGCAAAATAATTTGCATGTGGTGTTCTACAGGAAATCCTAATTTCAATACAGTGAACATGTAAGGAGAAGAATTAATGCAGCATATTGTCAACTTAGAAGGAAAAAATGAGATGAGATTAAAGGAGCAATCATTATAATGAAATTGATGAAATGAAGGCAAAAATTTCCATTGCTGACACAGATTAAAGATAGATGGGGGAGCATGGATCTAATGACAAGCCTTTTCATCCAGAAACAACCTCATAAACATGGAAGCAGCATTCAGCATTAGAACATGAATTTTCTAAAGAGTTAAGGAACAAACATATTTCTTGAAACTAGTCTTAGGAATGAAGAAGTAATAGGTCCACCTGAAGTCATAAAAAGAGCTAACAATATTAGTACATTAAAAAATAGTCAGAAGTAAGAGCTGCTAGATCACAATATAGAGATAGTGTTAATCTCTCATCCCTATTTTCAGGGCATTAAATATTATGAAAAATCACAAAGTTGAACTTATTACTCATTCATGCTCTTGATTCTCCACCCCAACATTTTCATTATTGTCTGCAGTTGGATGACCCAGGTGTCCATCAGTTTCTGAGGAGATTTACTTGAATTAGTGTCTTAAGTGTGATGAAATTTTAAGGATCCAGTTAATGGCATGTGAACTGCACATGCTCCTCATAATGGTACTAGCATGGAATGGCTCAACCAGTGATTATTGAAAGGATCGCTGACCACTGTTTTAAAAGCAGGCAAAGTTCTTGTTTGTTTTACAGATTATTGGAGGAATGCCATTGCCCAGTCAATGGCCTTCCAATGCGAAAAATGACCCCAAACATTTTATAGCTTACTTAACCCATTCTGCCATTGACAGCTGTTCAACTGAAGCTGTCTAATCCTACCTGCTTGTCATTTCTCTGTGTCCTTTTATACATTCTTTTTTTAAAGGTTTTTGGATAGACTTGTGAGAGTTGAGAGGAAACTGTTGTTGAAGAACTGAAAGAAACAAGATATAGCTTTCTAACTGAAATATGAAACCTAGGGTAGGAACCATGGAAAAGAAATACATCATGTGATTGCACACATATTATTCAAGTGCTATACATGTAAAGTCACTCCCAAATCTAAAACCTTTTCTTTTAAGTCATTTTAAAGAAGAGATGTCAAATCTGACTGTGGATGGCACACAAAATTATTACCTCTGTTTAAATTTATGGTCTATTATGCATTTATGTTGCTTTTCCAAATGCAAAAATGTGTGGTATAAGCCTTCAAAAAATTACGGGCTGTAGACTATGGCAGTTACACAACAAAAGAAGAGAAATACAGAGAGAAGCATAAGAGGACAGATAAGAAAAAGAGTCGAGGAGGAGAAATAGAGAAATAGGGACAATGACTAATGTCAACAGACATGACTAAGAGACAAACAATATTCAGTTCCTTACAATATGCAGCAATGTAGGAAATCAGCTAAAATGATTGAACAAAATACAGAGGATAAAAATAATGATCTATTCATATTCTGTGCAAAGGAATGTATCCACTTTATTCCTGTCCATCATGATAATGAATTTTGAGTGGCAAACAAGGGAATGGAGGCATAGCTGAATGGAAAGGTGTTGAATAAAGTGGAGGAACAGAAAGACCAGGTGTTGAAATACATAATTGCTTAGTATGTGAGTGCAGATAAATGAAGCCATTAAAGACCAATGGAATTTTAGATTTTATAAATATTGGCATGGAGTACACAAAAAAAGGAAATATCTTTTACATGGACATTACAGATCATGGTTATTGTATTGTGTAGTGTTTGGTACCATATTATAGACAAAAATGAAATAATTTGGTAAACAATGCAAAATAAAACAAGTTATACAAATATACCAGGGACAAGAAATGCTACTTATTTGGAGAGTCCTTAAATACTAGGACTGTGAAAGCAAACAAGATAGCAATAGAGGTTCTGTTTTAAATTATGAAGGGTTTTGATCAGATGACTAGGGAAT